GCATGTGCCAGCAGTATGCCCATGTTGCAGATTCAATTTGTGTCCATTTCCAATTGGATCTCCAAAAGAACTGGCCGACAACAAAGAGGAAATGTGCATACTTCGCAAACCTTCTTACGATGCCCAGGCATGTGAAGTCAAATCAAAATCCTGCAATCCCTGCATAATCCTCAGCCCGAAACCTTTCAAGAAACTCCCACATGATATGTCGCCAAGAGACTTGCAGGTCAGGAGATTCTTCTGCATGCAGGTTGCATCAATGGGCTCTTCAAAACCTCAAATTTGTGGTTTGAGGCACTTGAAGCTCAGCGCTAGCAGTTTATTGTGTTTGCGGTTTACTATTCAGGGTTTGGATAGTAGTAATAATAATAATAGTAATAATAATAACAATAATGACAATAATAATAATAATAATATTAATAGTAATGGTAATAGTAATAATAATAACAATAATAATAGTAACAATAATATTAATAGTAATAGTAATAGCAATAATAATAATAATAATAGCAATAGTAATATTAGTAATAGTAATAGTAATAGTAGTAATAATAATAATAACAATAATAACAATAATAGTAATAGTACGTCAGGGCAGGCGTCCCCGTGCAGGGCTCTTTGAAGGGCACCGTCGATACTGACACGGCGGTTGCGGCTTGCTAGGTCTTTGAACAGGTTGCTTGTGCAGATACATGTTGCAAGCGTCTGTCCCCGAACATCTCATGAAAAGACATGAACCTTTACCCCTGAGTATGGAAGATGAAAGCCTGACATGCCGAGCATTTGCGGCCACTATGTAGCACGCTTCGCCAGGACAACACTTAATCTGGTACTAATTGCGGCGTAGCTGTTACTCCTGCTCCTTGTTGTGCTAGTTTTAGAGCTACGACGCGGAGACGACAACTATTGCTGCATGGCCTCCACTTCCTACTACTTCTTCGTTCTTCTTCTGTCGATGGTACTTGCCCTAGGTAGGGGGGATGCACATATAGACCCCATACTACTATAATCCGTATGATGGGGACCTCCACAAAACTGGACACCAGTTTAGGGAGATCCCCCTATGAGCGTTTGCTTGTTCTTCTGATTGTGCGTCTACAGTAGCCCATGGACCAAGCAGACTTCAGACGCTTCAGTCACAATTTTGCAGTCGAGACGAACTGTCTCAAACACATTGTTGACCGTTCTGAAGAGTGCTTGCATCAGTGATAGGAGGAGGGAGGCTAATCAAAACTGTTGCAAGCCTCTGCCTTATCTCAACGCGCGCCACCCACGTAAAAATCCAGGGAACATCCTGAGAGCCCTCAAAACAAAACCCATAAACTGGGGACAGCCGTGACCCAGCAAGCAGCTGGACACAGGAAGCAGCCGCAACTAATCAAGGAAAACCAAGTGTGTAAATCAAAGAAAAGGAAGCAAATTTGTGAATGAACGTCTCATGTCCGATTGGTTTCTGATGCCTGCCCTGGGGCCGAAAGTCTTCAAGAACACCTTGAAGATAGAGAGCACCTGAGGTAAAGAGTCAAGTTGTACTTGTCTAGGGGCTTAGGGCTTGGCATGCAGGGTTTCAGTTTTAGAGTTTTTCTGGTCTATGGGCTATGGGCTTGACAATGAAGAGCCCTAGCCAGGCCAGAGGTAAGGTAGACACACGCATCCAAATAAACAATCTAAATGGGGTCTGTCTAAATGGAACACACCCAAGTTGCTCCGCTTGCGCATTCCAAAGCGTTGCCCAAAATTCCTAAGACTGGTGCGTGGGTTGCCCCATGGGGTCTCAACCATCACGCGATGTCTTCGAGTCTGTCACTTCGACTTTGGACAGCCCCAACTTTCTTAGGGGATCTCGTACCTGGAGCTCTTCAGGGCAAAGACCTCCATAGCGAACTCGAAAGTCATATAAAATCCCAACATGCACTCTACAACGGCCTGAGCAGTCTGCAAACAAGTCGTGGTGTGGGTCTGCACCGGATAGTATATGTGATTGAAACGTTCCAAGAAACCCCCCAAACTCTTCCCTGCAGGCAGCAAGCTTTGGAAATGTAGTTCCTGTCTGCAAAAACCGAGACCGCGGCTGCCGTGCAAACCTCTGCATCACCGATAAGGTAGATTTTTGAACAGCCGGCGCCGAAGAATGCCTGTTTGGCGCTGATAGGTTAAGGCTAAGGGTTTAAGACTTGTCGAGGGGCTCGGGTGTGAGATAAATACTGAAAAGCTATTACTACTGGTTCCCACCACTCCCATCATTCATACTTGCGCTTTGTCCCCAATCTTGTCCGAACTATAGCTGCCAGCTTTTGCATGCAAAGCGTTTCATTGCTGCTACCGCTAGGCCTGGATCCTGAGGCATTACACACATTTCACACATTCCTCCAGCTCAAAGCCGTTCTCATTTGGCACATTCCAAGACATGACCAGAAGGCAGAACCCAAACGGAACAGAAGGACCCCTTAATTAGGAATTGACTATTGCAACTGCAGTGACTTGTCCTTCCTGAATGGACTCTTTAATGCTGGAAGTAAGATCAATGGTGCCAAGCTGGCGTCTTTATGCAAAGTACTTCAGCACTTGCAATTGTATGAAGCTTTTTGAAGGCTGGTGAATTCTTGAGGGGTACGCTGTTTGAAAGCAGAGCTTTTGTGGCCGGCTCCATTGGTGCAGCCTGCCCGGAGTCGTTCAGTTAGGCAAGAAAGGATTCTGGATGGCAGTCAAATCCAGCTTGTGGAAGTTTACAAAACTGGGAGTCAGACAATGTTCCAAAGCTAACTGGGTACCCGTTCAGATTAAAATCACTTGACATGCCCCAAACTTCAAATTTCGCTCTGGAGGCCCAAGGGAACGCCCATAACTCAAGAATTTCCCAATCTACAGCTGCAGGATGCAGACTGGAGAGCCTGAAGCCAGAACGTTACGCTTCGAGATCAAAATGACAATCCCGAGCATTTCAACACATCAAGTGGCCGCAAGGCTCGGGGCATCGAGAAAACTGGGATGTCTGTAAACCACGGATGCCAATTTGACATGGTCCTTATAACGTGGATCCTCGGATGTGTCCATGCTAATACTCATCTAGACTGAAATATAGTTACGCCTAAGGACAGAAGTCCACCCACCTCTTGAATGAGCTGGAACCTGGGAGTTGCTTGAACTTTTGACTTCGGCCTTAGGCTCCTACGGATCCTTAGCATGAAGGGGCTGCTTTTTGTAAACTCGCATTAACGCACAGCCCGCTAGCCGCCTGGATGCCAGTAAGCAGGCAGATCACCAGTGAAATGATGAACCTGAGGGTTCCAAAACAATATATGAGCCATTGTCTAAACTCCTAGTATCCCCCTTAACAACCATATAATATACCCCTATATAATCCCTATATAACCCTCCTTTGAGGAGTTTAGACTATAGCTCATATGAATGCATGGATCCTCCCTTGTTGCTGCAAAGTGCGCCTTCATCAGGTTGTTGGGGGATGCTCATACTTCTAGGGTTGACATTTACAATTCCGCGACACTTCCCCAAAGCAAACGTTGCATCCCCTAAGGGGCCTACAAAGACTCCTGTCCATCCAAACGGCCTAGCATGGGCTCCATGTTTAAGGGGGCATGGAAAGGGATCAAAGAAACCAAGCACTACCACTCTCCAAGAAGTGTTTGCTTTGCGACAGAAGCTCTGGTCAATTTGACGGGCCTTTGAACACACCACAGCACCTCTTTCTCCCCAAGTCCTCATACATTTGCGATTGGCATTTTGACGCAGGTTTGGGCTGTAATTTCATTGCCTGGAGTGCGCACAAGGCTCTTCAGAGCCTTGCGCCCGAAAACCCCGCGGATCGCAAGAAATCAACCAATGAAGCCCCAAGAAATGCCACCATTGCTCCGCTTGCTAGAACAAACTTTATTGGATTCGGTGTTAGGTTGGATCGTTATAGGGCATGTCCCCACAGTCGGTAAACTTCCCTGGCACACTCTAGGCTGGCCTGGGTCTCCTGCCAGTGGTAAAGGCGTACTCTCATTCACATGTCACTGACAGGCGGCCATAATTGCCCTGGGGCCTAATTAAGCTTGAAAGACCAGCATCTCAACCTCAAACCTATCTAGCACAGCGTTTGTGGTCTCTGGTTTCATGTTAGTGCACCAGATGTTCTTCTACCTTCCAAGCCCACAAAAGAGGTCAGCGAAAGCACTTCCCGTAAGGTCTGCGCTATGGGGCTGGTGGGACTCTCTCCAGACTGCTATTTTGAGTATGGCAGCACCCCTCGCGCAGGAAAAATGAAAACGACCGCATGAAAACTCACCGTGCCCAAGCCCTGAACCTGGGATTCCTACACAGTAAGTCAGAGGCTGGACAGACCGCTTTTTGCCGTGAGGCCTCTGGCAACCCTGTGAAGGTTTCTGTGATAACTGCTCTTGCGTTTTGAATTGCAGCAAGCAGCATGACGAGGACTATAACCTGCGCCAGCAATAGCAGCGACCAGAAGCAAAGATGGCCAGAGGTACAGCCGCGAACGCAGGCCTAGTGGATGGGCTTCCGGCTAGGAGAAACTTATTTTTCCCACTCAACATGGGAATTGCCTGGGGTTGCACCCTTTCTGGAGAGAAGGGTGGGCAGGATTTCGCTGGCCGCTCTGGTTCTCTTGGGTCGAAAGCAAGGGTGCCAGTTAACAGACGACAACCAATGCTTGCTCTTGTGGTGTGAATTGAATCGCCCTACGCAACGGCCTCCGTAGAGCATATCAACATTTAAAGGGATGCTGCTCCTAAACTGCAACGCCTTCCAGACTACTGAATGCAGAAGATGATTCAGAGGGGGGGGCATTACAGCAGAACAGGGAGGAAGCCTTCATCATCTGAAATCTATAACCATGCATCCCCCGTAAACCCTGGAGCATCAAGATCCCTAAACCCTAAACCCAAACCCCTCAACCCTAAACCCTAGACCCTAAACCCGAGGACCAAACCTGGGACCCAGAAGCCGACAGACATTTTCATACCTTTCTTCCGAGGCGCCAGGCAGCTGCCACAGCACGTCCGCATTCTTTCCATAAAAGTCTGGGGAGGCTGGTACTCCTGGGTTTAGAGTTTACAGGTTTGATGCCTGCCTGAAGTTTGGGCGTTTGGGGGGGGGGATTAGCATTGAGGGGTCGCGTTTATTACGAGGCTCGTGGTCGAATGCGCGGATTTCAACACTGTGAAGCAAAGATGTTCTAGGCTCCAGCGTCTATAATAAGAGCCAACAATGCTTCAAGGCCTTCCTCCCTTTCTTACTTGGAAGAAGCAAACGCAAAAAGTTGCTCGTTGGAATCCAGGGTGCTGATTCGGGAACGTCCGCCTGCGCAGCAAGAAAACCGAGCGTGCAAAATTGCAAAGCAGTAGGGCAGGACAGGCATGCCTCACAACTGGCGTGTTGTGTGTTAAATCCACAACCCTGCTCTCAAAGATGTGGATGACAAAATCCACCCAGCAGAGGCTCCCAATCTTGTGAAGCCTTCACTTGTGAAGGCATTTTGCTGGGAATTGATTCTGGAGGGACCAACGGGTCACCCTCATTGAAGTAGATCAGCTGCTTGGATTTGGGGCTGCCAGGTCTGCCTATAGCTTGAGTCCAGATGGGAGTCTGTGGCGCGTTCTGGCGTGCAAAAGAACTGCTTTGCTATGGTGTTCGCTGGCGGGCCAACAGGGGTGCCTTTTGAAGCACACACGCATTTGTCAAAGCATCCTCAATAGAGCCCACAACCCTGACCTCGCGACAGCATCCCCTTGAGGACACTAAGTGTCTACCAGCGCACCATGACATTTGCCGCACAACTGCGGCTCCAGACCAAATTTGTCTGCAACTGCCAGACAACCATGAGCTGCACAATCCCCGCAGCCTGAAGAATTACTTGCAGCCTGCCAAAACAGGATATGGCATGCTACACCAATGCAAAAATGTCAACAAGTGTTCCAACTAGTTACGCCGCTTTTCTACACTGCAGGACATACAGCTCGCCTGAGGCCCACCAAACCAGCCGTTGGCCCAGAAACCATAAAACAACCTCACGAGCAGAAGTTTCAAGGCTGCAGTGAATTAATGAATTGTCTTGGATGTAGGCTTTCGGGCCGAAACACTTTAGAGGCTACAAATGTTAGCACCTTCAGAAGGTGGAGATGGCATGGATAACATCATCTTTTGGGAGGTTCTGCAGGCAGTTATGTGAGTAGATGCTGCGTTTCAAAAAGAAGCAAAACTCTTTTCATGTGAACACCTCCAAGGCCACAATGGGTACTTCATTGCGCTAAGGACAAAGCCAAGTTCAAAGCCGCAGGAATAGTTGAGCATCCACATGATAAAGCGAATGTCGGATATGGAGCCAGAGGCCATCCAGAAAATGACTTTTTCTGTACAAAGTTGGCTAGTTGACTTGCAGTTGGACGGTTGGACCTTTTGAGGACTCCCATCTGATGGTCAAGGCGCCTAATTCGAGGGCTTCCTGTGGCTTGACAAGCACTTTCTTGAGATGCGGTACAGGAGATGTCGCACATGCGCAGTTTTCTTTGAAGGCCACAACTTGCAGGAGCAGCCCTTGCCGATCTGCGGCTGGGGATCCAAACTAATCCCTTATCCTAGTGCTAGGGGTATTCAAGATTAGCGTTTAGTGGGCTGGTAAGAGTTAGGGATCTACTACTCAGACATCTGATGCTCTGAGGATTGAATAACATCTGCGACCTACTTGGAGGTTCCTAGCCTCTTTAAGCAATTGTAGGCGGGGCTATAAGTCCCGGACTTTGGGTTTAGAACTTTACCATGTACTTATCCTTCTTTAGATGTAATCCCAATAAAAACTACGCATGAAAACCTTTCACATCGCCGGTCGCGTCAGCACACAGCTGAGCATTTGCACGGTTGGTTCCAGGGGCCCAAACAGACAAGGCCGTAAGTAAGGTCCCTTGCACTACAAAAAGGCCTTAGGACTCTTGAGGGAAGGGTCTTCTGGTCTTCTGATGTTGTTCGCATTCCAAAGCGCATCCTGCGGACTGCAGACATCATAGCCTAAACAGGACTGAATAAACAGAGTTTCCAGGCCACAAGCCCAAACGCAGCAGAATCAAACCTCGTGCCCTGACAATTTCCATTACCTGGCAAACCGCATCCGAGCTTGCATGCGATCATCGACTCTCGACTGCACAACATAGATCATGGTTTAGCAAGCCCACAAGTGGTGCTTGTTAGGCCCGACTCTGTCCGAACTCGGAGCGTTTGCACTTCAGAAATCAGCAGCCCCGCTTACCTGGCCCTCCCAATCTACGAAAAAAATCCGGCATAGCATTGCCCTGTAGCCACAAAGATCTTAGTGCAGCTCCAAATCCAGAACATTATCTTAAGCCTTAAGCCAGAATCGCAGTTCAAGTGCAGCTTATAGAGCGCTGGTGGAACGTCCATGGGAACCCTGCTAAACCCCAGCTTAAACAAGCGCAAGAAGGAACATGCAAAACAGAAAGAAAAGGGTTTCAGCTTCCCTTTCTCTCGGTAATTGGATTGCAGACGCGGTGACATTGTGCCACTGAACAAGAAGAAGAACACAAAATATGCAATCCACACTGTCCTCGGCTTCCATGGCGTCTGATGCAATCTCCAACCCTACTGTGCCTCTGGTTCCAAGCCTGAAGGTCTTGCTTTACAAGCAAGCGAACAACATGAATTTGAGATGACTGGGATGGTGCTTGCTCTCCGCACCTCTACACCCTTCCCGACTGTTGCTGCAACTCCAAAGAAGCTGAAGCCCATAGGCTTTGGACAGGAAAGAAGATCCGACCGCATCTAGATCCTGCCTGTGCAACCAGGGAAGGATTTGCATCTTGTGGGGTAAGATGAGCTGCGCATCTCTTTAAACAAGTCCTCTCTCCTGACCCCAGGTGCTTCCTTTCAAGACAAACCAATTGAAACCACACTGAAGAAGCGACTCTTAAGCCCCAAAAGTATTCACAAAAACCTCAAACCAAAACCTCTAATGCAAAACCAAATCACCACTTCACCAGATTTAGGCTTTCGTGGCCCAGGTCGCTTTTAATCTGTGACTGCATAGAAACTTCAAGTAAGTCCCAGGTCCATCAACCCTGAACCCAAACCGAGGCCCTAGAATCCTTCACCCCTCAACCCAAACCTTTACACACTCGACCGCCAGCACTGAATCTCAAGCCCGTCCAGGTATCTTGTAGAGCTTGCCCATCTTCTCCATAAGCGGTGGAGCTTTGAGACCCAGCATCTTTCCAGAGAGCAACATTGCAGGGTGCTACGTGGGGTTGAAGCAGGTCAGGTTTGAGACCCAGAAGTTCGGGGGCTTAGGAGTCGGAGTCGAGGGTCCAGGGTCCAAGGTTGAGGGGCGAACTTGTAGAGGGGCTGGGCACAGCATTCTATCTTGATTTTGTTTTCGTTGTCGTGTTGGGACAAAAGAGGGACGCGGAGAAAACACATAGAATGCAAAAGACAGTGCATGGAGCTCATCAAGCACCAAATCATGGTAGGTAGGATGATACTCCCACTCCCTCAGCCTCGCAGAGGTTGCGAAGGCTGGTCCACATCCGTGTGTTCAGAAGATGTTGAACACGGGGTACAGGTGCAAAGCTAGAGTTCGATTGAAATCCGGCTGCTCTGTGTACCAGAACCGACAAGAAGCCCCTAAACCTGCCAACTGCACACGTCTGGGCTTGATCACTGCGGATGCCGGACCCTTGAAGCAGGTTCCCAGTCTCAAGGTCCCGGGTAGGCACGAAGCCAGATCAAATCAAACTGTCATATTACGGGGTCTATCCTGATTGTTGCCATGAACGCGGAATCCCCAGCCCCAAGCGCCTGCGAGATGGAGTCGATGACTCCGCTGATCATTGACACTTCTTTCCTTTTCGGAATCTTGCTGGCGGCTAGTAGGGAATGACGGATCGGAAAAGAAATTGGAAACCACTTAACTTCATTATTGGGGATTTTTTCGGGACTGCTGCTGACCGTGCAACCTTGCAAGGAAATGGAGTGCATGTATACTTCCAAAATAACCATCTCTAGTCACAGCGGCTCGCGAGATTTGTGGAACCGTCAACCTCTATTCAGCACCCGACATTTCAAAAAAGATAGCCGTGAGCCCTTGTTCTGCAGACTCCAAAAAAGAATGCTCTAACGATATGCTTGACCCCTGTATACAGAGACTCGCCGGGAGCGTGCAGATCATTTCATGACTGCCCTTGCTACCAGAAGTGGCCCAGCAAGAAGAAATGCAGAGACCCGGGTAAAAACAGCCGATTCTGGGTCTAAACGAAGCCTCTTCTTTCTTGAAGACATGAAGCAGTGGGACTGTTCTCCTGAAAAATACGACCAATGACATCACTCTGGAAGGACGGACGATGCTCCTCTGAAACAGACAAAAGTCAACACCGCTTAATAGACTGCATACCTTCTCAGACTGGAATCTTGTTTCAACAGCCTGCAGGCCCGAAACAGCTGCACTGAATTTCTGCCGCGCGGCTTCGCCGTTTGCAACGCCTTGATCACCTGCCCAGCTAATCGTCTGAACAAAGAACACTCGCCGGCCTATCATGGTGAAAGCTTTCTCCACTCCCTCTCAAGAGCCCGAAGAGAAACGAGAATACAAAGAACAGCGGTGAGCGGTGACTCTGGAGAATTTAGACTTGACCAGGGCTCAGCACAGAATTGCTGCGCAGAAATGCTGGGGATGAGGTGAAGAAACGCAACAAAACAGTCCCTACGACGTGAACAAGAAGATGCACACTTAAACGCATTTTTTGGACGGAGAGTTTGCGTTACAAAGCGGGAAAGGTGCTTGAAGCAAACTTGCACCAGGCCTGTGTTTGGGGGTTGTGCAGTTGAAGGAGACGGTGCTAAACAGTCCCAGAACTGCAAGAACTTCGACGCAGCTCCACCCACATGTTGCAACTCCTTAAATGCCTTGCAAATTCCTATTGCGAGCATACTGCTGTCAATGACCATGAAGCTGAAACTACAACAGTCTCTGAACTTAACAAAACGCCCCAAAATTGCTTCACCTCATAGATTGCCAGAGGTTGCTTCCAGATCGCCCCAGTCACGGTTCCTAAAGATACAAAAGCATGAGCTATACATGCGGTCCCTCCCAAAAACACGCAATATGCTGAGCTTGCAAATGCTGTTAAAAAGACCTTCATGCTCTCAAAAAACGTGAGCGACACAAGCACTGGTCTCAGTAATTAATCTCCCAAAACATTCCAGCAAGTGGCTCCTGAGGATACTGGGAATTACCACTGAGGTGTCCCTTTATTGAAGCAGGCTTGGCAACTCCCAGATTACAAACAGACGACAACCTCGAGGAGTGAGAATCAAGAAAAGCAGGCAAATGAGGCAAATGACAGGCTACTCATCTCAACAACCTGGGCGCTGAACCCATGAGAGGGCCAACCTTTTGGTAACCCCTAGTCCCTCCCAGAAAACAGTGTGACTGTAGGGCAGGGCCTGCACGGGAAGTTGAGTGGGCATTGCGTGAGAGGATGTAGGTGGCAACACTGATACCATGTAGTTATGGCTAGATAGACCACCCTCTGATACTCCTGGATAGCGCCATCCTGATTCAGTATTTCCTGCCGCTGCAGCAAGAAACCCAGAACCTGAAACCCTAGGCCCTCGACCGCTTCAACAATCTTCAACCTGAGCTTTGCGGAATTGAACCTTAGCCTGCACGCCTGAGGGAGGGTGCTCTGCAGGTCCTTCGCTGTGTCCGTGATGAAGGTCGTTGCCCCACTTAGGTGCATGGTGTAGTCCTTGGCTTTCCCGATCAAGCTGGGAACAGGTCATGTGTCAGATTTGCAGTCTTCGCAGGAAACTACGAGCAACAGGAGGGTGATGTGAGCAAAGCGTGAGTCGGGACTACTTTTCAGCAGGAGATGGGGTAACACAAGAAGAAAACTGCACAAAACCATACTTGATCGTTTGGGTAGCAAAAGCATAACATGCACCAACATAGTCTACCCAGATGAGGGATGTACCCCGTAGGCTTGAGTGCAAAGCTCCAGCTGTCAACACACGAGGGCGCTCACAGGTTGTCGGAAGCCTCACCCTAGAACATCTTTGTGGGCAGCGGTCGATAAACCAAGCTGGCAAGTGCTCCCCAGACAACGCATCAAAAAGGTGCTAAACAAGCAGCCGCAGAAAACAGCTTGCACGCGCAAGGCCTGTTCCTAAAAGTTCCCATATGGCCCAGCACGATTGGCGTTTTATTAACACGCACGTAGCCAGAATATTCCATGTCTACCCTGCAAACTCTGCTTGCCGGATCAACTAGTATGCGAAATCCCCGTGAGCAGCAGCAGGGCTCGGAGTATGCAAGCATAGCCTTGCTTCTTGCACAGTCTCTGTCAAACCCCAGGCCCTAACCAGTCACGCCCAACTCCAAGCCTGTCACCCCCAAAAGAAACCCCGAAATCTTTTGATGCTTGAAGGCGCCAAGCCGCGGTGTTTGGGATAGACTTGCATGCTGCGGAATTGCCAGCGGAGCACCTGACTGCTAACCCCCTCGGTTCTTTTTACGCAGTGCCTGCCCCCAATGCGCATGTAGACAAACTGTGCAAGGACTATGTCAGACTATGTCAAGGACTGGAGGAAGACTTCGGGTTTCTGGCTTCGGGGTTGGCCTCTAGGGCTCATGTAGGCTGATGGTTTAGAAGGTCGTAGGATCCATCTGGAGGTCTGACAATGGGGTCCCAGGGGTGATGATCACCCAAGCTTCCACTTCTCTCTGGCGCTTTCTCGAAAATGTGAAACCAGAAGAAGCCAAGGCACTGGAATGAGGCAATACCCTCATCTATGAGCTCACCAGAAAGCAGGACCATGTCCTGCAGAGTTCCTGGGACGGCTGTAGATTCATTGTGCTTAGAATTTAGGGTTTGGGGCTTTCATCTGCAAGGAGACGTCTGTGATTGACAGTCATTTGGACTCATCTCTATGAGACTCCCGGAAGGGTGGCTACAATGGGTATGGAGTACAGTAGTTGCAACTCCAATCTCACGCACTCTCTTTCCCGAGCCACTTACATCCGAACATCCTCCTCAGGAGTGACCCTTGCAATCACTAATCTCTCAAGATTACTATGATCCGTTGAACATCAGATCCCCGACTGCTGAACACTGAGAGCTCCAAGTGAACACTGAACAACTTCCAGCACTGAAGAAAAGACTCCATTGATGAAGTCATCCGCTTGTTTCTCAATGAACTCTGGTCCGCCAGGTCCAGCATAGTTGTTCATCAAGGTCCTAATACGACCCCACCGCATGGGGATTCACGGGCGAGTATGCTTTGCAAGGGCGCATGCAGGAGGGTCCAAATGTCAAGAAATACGGGCTCATGGCTTCGGGTGCAGGTCTGCATGATCAGGGAAACGTTCACGCAGCCTCAGGGGTGCTTCTCAGCTTGGTGTGAAATCAATGGTGAACGGGTTCTCCAGTGTTTAAGGTTCAGGGCACTTGCTCATTTCAGAGATCCTGTGACAACTCACACCCAACTTATCCGAAATGTTACGCTTCTGACAGCCACCCCTGGCCCAACAGACCAAGGGCTAGTTACAAGTCCACAAGCAACTGGGTTGGCCGTCATTGAAAACTTCATGAACAAACTTTGAAAATCTGGTCCTGCTCAGGAGCATGGCTGCCCTATCATGCTTCCCCAACAGGTTGGAGCATGTCTTTAATGCCCCAGGGTGAGTTCTGGATTAACAGGCTCAATGCTGTGACGATCCTTTTGCAGAGGCATCCTGCTGTGCAAGTGAGCAACTTTGCAGATGAAGGTCAATGCCAGGAAGCTCAGCTTTAGGAGGAATGACATAGCGCTCGCGTGATCATATCAGATCATAACATAACGTAGTATGCTGTACCGTAATTTGATGTACCATGGTTGAGGTCTCTGGCGTTCATACAATAAGCTCTTCAAGCCAAGTCTCAAGAAGCTTTGGGTCTTCTTGATCATTCCGTTGATGCTGTTGCAAGTCGAATCCTCAGCTTGACCTTCTGACTTGAGACAGTCCGTGGAAATACTACAATTGGCGTCCAAAAGCTTACCCCAACATAGCAGGGCTTTCAGTATCTTCCATGAGCCCTACCCGGGGGCTGCGGCTTCAAGATCCCCCCATCCCTGAACCCTGAACTGGACAGGTGGCAAGGCTGGGCATGAGCAAAGGCTCCTCCCGCCCGACAGAAACTGTTGATTCAGGTTGTCTTCAGCACCCGACCATGACATGCGAGAAAGACCTTCGACACACACATTTTAATGGCACACTTCCAGAAACAAACGCTAAGAGCAACACTTTGAGCAACACTTGTGCAAACTACAGTCCTTCTGCCAGGGACTCTTCAGATGCTTGTCTCTTTACCGAGCAATTCCCATGCAAAAGAGACATCCTCCTAAAAACTGCTGTACCGTGAAGACGCCAAGGCCTTCATGAGCCCTGAACTCTGCAAGCTTCTCGTGCACCCAATATTCAACTGTGACCTACCCAGAACAGGAGGAATATCTAGAAAGTAAACCAAGCAACTTAGTACCCTATACTACGATCGGACTGCAGAAGTTCTCAAGGGGATCTATGCCAAGCCAGGCTGCAAGAGGATTGGAGGAGGTGCCTGAGTACTCGTAGCACTGCTCATTGAAATCCTTGCAGGCATCTTCAAAGGCTGGCACTCTCACGAGCAGCAGCTGCTTGAGCGCTTGGGGCTTTTCATCTGCCAAGTTCTGCAGGTCCTGACAATGTAGATGTCATATAGAACGTCATTATGTTGCGAGACTCCTACCTCTCTCCCTTTGACCTGCAAAGCCTTCGCCACCGATGTAAAAGCGAGATGAATCTTGATTTGCTGCGGCAAGCCTGCTGAAAGCAGGATACTCGCATGTGGTGTTTTTGCGCCTCTTTGTCTTCGCAGACGGCGCAGAGGGCTTAGAGGCTGAGAGCTCAACCCCAAAGAGGAGCCTATTTGGGTGCTTCCACAAGTCGAGTTCCCATTACATACCCCAAAATACGATCCTCCCAAAACCGTCCCCTGACTTTGGACACCCCCCTACGGGGCTCCATGTTTACAACATGAAGTGTAGGCTGCGTCGCCTAGAAACTCGCAACCATCCCGGGACTCAGTAGTAACAGTGTCCACGGCAGGCAACACACGCCTTCCACTCATTTCAACCATGCCTCCCTTGGACTGTCGCAAGCTGAAGCACCTGGGGTGCTCCTACGAATGACTTATTTAGGGGTGCAGAAACCAAACCAAAATTCATGACCTGAAAGCCGTTCATCTCTTTCTGAAGTACGGCAGGCGTCAGATGTAAGGCCGGAACGAGATCACAAAAGGACTTTGAGGTGTAGTTGAAGTGCGGTGCCAATGCTGTCATTGTAAACGGACTCTATAACAAGTTATTCCTGTAGCCAGATCTCTGGAACCTTTCCACGCAGCCTGCGTACCTCCTACAATTTTGTCACAACATGTCACAACCTCCCTGTAGTTCTCAACATCCTGCCCACATCAACCCACGAGCAAGAATCCTATCTTTTAGGAGGAACCCCCACCCTGTAATAGTGGTATAGTAGGAATGTAGTAGGACCCTAATATAATCCTAATTAT